TAGCGCATTTTCGTGTCATCATAATTTCCCCGTGGCAGCTACGATCGAAGCTACATGGAAGCCAGCCTGCTTACTTCAGCAAGAAATGGGAAAAAAGGCGCTTGGTGGTTCATCAACAAAAACCTAAGTTGTCTAATTGAAACATGGTCGAATCTGCGCTTCCATCCGTGAGCAACTAAGCAAGAAACTTAAACAGAAATACTGCATTTAAACAAAATATTTCTTACATCTGCCATCAGACGTCTTTCAAAGCACGTCCCAGTCTTCAGTACTGTAGCTGAAGTAGCTAGACGGGCGCCAGCTACTGCAGAAATACGAATCAAAAAATGCGCAATGTCTGCTGCTATTTCCGGAAAAAGGCACATCAGACGTCCCAGTGACGGTACTGTCTTCGCCAGCAATACCAGATTCTCATCAGTGCTTAGCGCACGTGACAATGTTGTCAATACATCGAGCACCAATTCCACACGAACAAACGACGATTCGATCTTATACTAAAACAATAAAAATCATTCATTTTTGTTTGTTACCAAAGCTTAAAAGCTGATTTCAGGGATTTCAGCTAGCACGATGCGACATTCAAAACTACAAGTTTACCTTCTATCGTGCGTTAAACCACGGTCAGATAAATCATAATTATTATGCAGTATTTTTCCAGTTGATTAATTTCTGGCTGAGATTTCAAGCATTTGCTTTGCCCCCATTCTTCCCTCATTTTGAACTCTTTCTTTGCAATCATATTTGCTAGTTTTATCAGTCCCACTGATCATACACTGAGGATGCATGAAGCCATCACAAACAAAGAGAAAATCATTTTTAAAAAACCTACACAAACTGATTGAAGTTTCCTTATACTTAAGATATAGAATGCTTCAATTTCAGTCCAATTCTAACTTTTTTTCTTTCAATTTCTAGCATCAGGCTGGATTTGAAACTGAGATAACAGCACCCCACGATAAAAGTACAACTCACACACAGCCTATAGGCAGCAACTTCAGCTGTCTAATTTTAAATGAAACTATACCTGCTGTGCAAGTTCCGCAATGAGAACAATGGCAAATACGCGTTTCGAAATGTCCGCCAGAGCCAAAATTTCGTGAACAAATTCAAGGCAAATATGCATCGATGGGATTTCTCGCACAGCGAGTGGAATCAGATTCAGTGAATAGCACTGAAATTCGAACTATTCCAAAAAAATCACTCAATATATAGAACTCGTCATAAATCCGAAAGATGAAGATCAGTTTTATTGCAAGGAGAAAAAGACGGGATTTGGAAGAAAATTTCATTAAGACTTCTTAGTTGGTAAAGTGCCTCACTTAGGTTTATGAATGGCG